GCACTCATTTGCTTAAAGATGGGGTTTCTTCTGTATTAATTGTGTGTTGGTGTACCACAAGTCGTTCAGCGCATATCAGTTGTGCATGGGTGGTTAATGCAAGGTGAATACCTCTCGAGAAAGTTCTAATGTGTTCAAGATTCATATGTGGTGTTTAAGGGTTCCCTAATTTGTGTATGGCTAAGATCTGAGACTTGTATTGGATGGTGCTGAGACTTGCAGTATTTTTATATCATCATTGATTCTACATTTCAATATTAGGGAGAGGCATGAAATAGCTTCAGATTCATAGAAGTTATCTTCAGAGCGGGTATCTCAATTTTCTATATAATTGGGTGCTTAAGAGAGAATATAATGGCTTATGGGCCTTAGGACTGCATGATTTCATGTTCGGGTCTCTTGGGGTGAGCTCTGATGGAGGACCGTAGTGTACTAGCAAAGAGAAATGTTATCTTGGAGGCAATTCAAGAAGAACTTGAAGAAATGGGTCAGCTTGGTAGTGGTTTGAATCAGCATAGTGATAGAAATGATTGGCTATTTGATTATGTGAAAAATTGGTTTCGAAGAGTTCATAATGGATTTGACCACAGCTCGAGGCTAGTGTCTTCTACTGGTGTGGAAGGTTTGTTGCATGTTGCAATTTTCTCCACGATTGAGTTAAGTGGAAAGTTTCTGGTTGATGGAGTATTTATCCTACTTGTGATTCAGAGTTGATAATGGAATTCTCATGTTTGCATATGATAGCATGATAGATGCAATGTACTAGGGGGGATTAAGATTTGCAAGTAGAAGGTTGCAGTTCGGTTTTGAAGGGAAGGTCATGAGTTCTAGATAGCATGGACGATTTCAGATATTTAAGAGAATGTTGGCACTATTTAGTATTGCCTGAGAAGGGTGTGCATTGTAGAAGACACATTGTGTTTTGACTTGTGGATGCTTCATTAGATTATAGTAATCGCCTGGTTATTGACTATTGATGTTCAGGTATTGCTATGTGGCATAGAATATTTATGGGAGTATTTCCGTGAAATGATAATTTATAAGTGATGTATCTGTCATTTGAGTGGTGGAGTTAGTTTGAAATATAGGGATTCATGTATTCTTGAGGTTTAGTGACTAGATATTCTCAAAGGTAGACTATTTTTTGTTATGGACTGTAAAGATATGTTAAGAGTTAGCCAGCTGATGATATGTGCTATGGATAGGTTACTATGGACTTTTGGAAGGTTATTTACTATTTTGGGATGATCGGAATTGATTTGGAGTCTATTGGTAGGCATAATGAGAATGTGTATTCTACATCAGATCGGGTTTGCTCACTATTGCGCATCATTTATTGTGGGTATGTCATCGGGTACAATGGATGTTATTAGTGCCTGATTTATTCCATGTGTTGCTCTTTTATGCTACGAGGGGTTCTGATATTATTTGACTATTGACATGCATGATGTGGTTTTGGGCGAGATTTGAGTGAGATGATCTTTGTTTATTGAGTTGCTTATTGTACATTAGTCGTGCTTTTCTAGTCTATGATATATTGTACTATATTTTCCTCCATGATTATGGTCATGTGTTTCGCGTGCTTAATGTCGATACACATATACTTTTTAATTGTAAGCATCATAGCTCAATGGGTTCCATGTAGATTGGTGCATTGGATCAGGTTACACGCCGCAACGAAGTATGTTAGGATATGATCCTTTGTGCTTAATTTGTGTGTTTTGCTTCTCCCTTGTGGGATGAAATCATAGTAATGTACCTTGGTGGTTGTGTCTGCTAAACTTGTTGGATGGTTCTCTTATTTGGTTGTCCTTCTATCTTTAGTTATATTCGAGGTGTTTCTTGTTGGTGGGAATTGCATTGTATATGGCTATAGGTGGCATTTGGTGTGGCCTATCAATCAAGTAGCTTATATGGGGTGAGATGAGGTTATTATATCTGTAAGTAGTGCAATCAGATTTGGATAAGGTAGGTTGGGAGAGGAATTGCATTAGTCAACTTAGGAATTGACAATGGTTCTTGTCGGGCGAGAGAGCTCTACAACTTGTTGACCTAATAGGTGTTATGAGTTTCTATGTGTTTCTTTTATTGTTAGAAGGATTGCGAAGGTTTGGAACAAGGTCTTATTTGATATAAAGTATGTAGTCGGTACCTGATTCTTTAATGATCACTTACTGTATTCTGTAGATATCCCTATGAGTACATGAGTTATGTGGTACATCGTGTGATTGTATCTTGGGAATATGATTATGGCTTAATGCGATTTGTTGAGACTTGTACATTGTTTATATGCGAGAATCATATCTCATATGGAATTCTGGATGATGGACTTTGGTTCTAAGGTTTATGGATTAAGGTTGAAGAAAGAATCCTCATTCGGGATTGTGCTAATAAGCTTATATAGATTGTGGTAACGTGGAATTGCCCTTGGGTATGTGTATGATGAGTTTACACAGTGGGATGACTTTGGAATGACTCTTATCACATTTGAGGATGAATGTATATTAAGTGGAGGAGAATGTAACAATCCGGCCGATCGTTTTGAGTTCTAACATTTTGTTCTGTGATTTGAGACTTTGAGTGACTTCATATGGTGTATTTACTTGCCTACGGGGTTGCTTCTGATTTTCGAGTGGTTTGGGGTTGATTTGATAGAGTGATTCATAATTTGGAAGCTTTAAGTTGGAAGAGTTCACCAAGGTTTGACCTTTGAGTAAACGACCTCAGATTGGTGATTTGATAATTTTTATAGGTTATAATGATTTTCGACTTGGTGTATGTTTAGATTTGAATTTGGATGGTCCTAGAAGGTTTCACCTTTATTTGTTGAAAGTTCGCAAGTTGAAGAATTGGAGATATTTATGGGTTTGACCAAGAGTTGACTTCGGTATTATCGGACTCTTATTATGGCTTTGAGACCTCATATGGGTTCATTTTGTTGATCGAAACTTGTGTGCAAAGTTTGGTTGTGGTCCGAAATGTTAAAGTGTGATCCAGACGTGTTCGGCTAAGCATGAGTGTTTGAAAATTAAAGAGGATGATCTTTATCTTCGATTCTTGGTTTTGATATAATTTATGATGTTTTGAGCTTTTGGATAAGTTTGGATAATGTATTTGGACATGATGATACAATTGGACTGAGTCTCGAGGGGCTCTGGTGAGTTTTGGGGGGTTTCGGTCTATTTTGGATGATGTTAATATAGCTAGTTTTCTGATGTTTCTAATGTTCTCCGCGATTGTGAAGTATTAACCGCATTTGCGTAGTTTTTTTTTTAGCTGGCATGATTTTTGTGCTTTGCATTTCCCTCTCATGTTCGCGAAGGGGATATGGGCTAGAGGAACTTGGTTCTACGCTTCATGATGGTTACTACATTCGTGGAGGGGAAGGTCAGTTGTGCATAAGCGATGGTCTAGACAAGTTCGCGAAGAAGGACTAGAGGGTCTGTATGTCTTGTGCTTCGCGTTTGCTAAATGTTGGTCGCAAACAACATGAAAGATTTCAGTCAGGGGTATATTTTGTCCAAAAATTAGGGAATTGCTCATTTTTCACTATTTTGAGTTTTGGAGATCGGGAAGAGGAGATTTTTGAGAAGATTCTAACTACTACTTTATGGGTAAGTAATTTTAAATTTAGGTTTATATCTTGGTTTCCCATGGATTTACACACTTTAATCATGAAATTTTGAAGAAAAATTAGGACTTTTTCCATACACTTTAAGAGAGTGTATTTTGGGGATTAGAGTACCGATTTGGACTCGATTTGAAATTTAATCATATATTTGAACTCGACAGGTTATGGGTCATGGGATTTTGGTATTAATTTAGATTTCAGGCATGCTAGCCTGGGTTAACTTTTGTTGACTTTTTGAAAATTCATCAAAGTTCGAAACTTTTCGGATTGGGATCATTTCCTATGGCATTGGTGGACTTCCTTAGTCAATGTTTGGTTAGAATTGAGTTGGTTAGAAGTGATTTATCAAGGAAATGTGGTTTTGTAGTTATGGACTTGTCTGGATGAGGTAAGTATCTTGTATAATCTTGTTGAGTGAAAAACCCTTAGGATATGACATTATTTGTCTAATTGAATTGTATGAGAAGTGCGAGATGATGAGTATGTATACGGGTGCTATGTATGATTCAAGACCGGAGCAGTCTTTGGGCAGTACTATGCCTTGATTTGGATATTGTGCTTCCTGCTATCATGCTCTATATGTTTGTTGTTGATACTCAATTCACCCTCATGTTTGCCACTTGGCCCGTATGTTTTATAATGTATTCCGATGTATTTTTAAATATTATTTACAGAATATTTCCTTGCACTACTATCACTATGACATGTTTTAATATCGATCTTCCATACTTCGTCAGATTATTATGAAAATTTCATGCATATAATTTCATTTCATTTTTTAAGCTTTTAAATTGATTTTGGCATTTTAATTGATATAATTAATTGCTCTTTCAAAAATTATTTCTATGTAATAAATTGTCCAAATTAATTATTTACTTCTATATGCATATTTTATAGTATTTTAATTCATTTTTATATAATTATATTTGTACTTTTATATCATTTGCAATAATAACCAATATTTTTCAATAATTATTTTTATTATGCTATTTTTTTTAGTCCGCTAGGCAATTGCCTAGGGTTAGTTTTATATATAATCATTAAAATTACGAAATACAACGTCATGATATCCTACGAACTGATTGAAATAAAGTTTGAACTTAACAAATATCTTTTTATCAAAATTGAGTGATGCACTCAACATTGATATCACATTAATGCTCTTAAACTTTGTAATATAATTCAGCATCCCCGAATGTGCATTTGAAAGGCATAATGCAATGTTCCTCTATTAATTGCGTGCACTCCATTTGCAAGTTTCATTTTGTATCCTCCGCTGACCTTTTGTCTGTCATTTGCGTTCCTCCATGTACCTCGATTGCAACCTTCAGCAAGTTGACTGACCTTATATTCCAAATGAGAGCATTCATCACTGATTGCTGGATTTAGTCATCGTTCTCCTTGTGTGCACCCCAGCTTTTGGTGCTGCAAAATTATCTTTTTGTTGCTTCTTCTTACCTTTTGCTGCTGATTTTGCCTTTTCCACTTGCATAGGTGATAAGTCACCTTTCCTTGCAGCAATCATAAGGTGTTGGGTAGTTGATTCTTGATCCATGTCGTATCCTGATTTACCAGGTTCTTCTTCTTCTTCATTGTCTTCCTTCCCTCCTGATGTAGCTCCAAATGCATTCTTTTTAGGGACCAAGGCTTTCTCTTCTCCTCTTTTTAACAGCTGAAACTTGTTTTTCTCTAATGTAACAGTAAAATTTAGTATTTTTGTTTTTTGTTTTGGTTGTTTCAACTTCTCTGTTGTGTTGTGTCCTTGTGGGTCTTCTTGTGATTTCTCAAGTTGATCATCTTCTGTTCCTCCAGGATCATTTACCTCTGGGCCTCTTCCTTTTGTGACTTCTGTCGTCTGAAAATTATTGATGTGCTCAACATTTTCTGATCCTTCCTTTATTAAATAATTACCAGTTGTATTGTTGTCATTGGCATGGATCTCTCCATTTACACTTTGCTCATCTTCTTCTTTCTCATTCTCATTTGGTTCCTCATCATCTTGTGCTCCTAGTGGTACTTCGTTCTCCTCTGAATCGTATTCCATTTGTGCCTCCCATAGCCTGCCTCCACATTTTTGCCCTCTTTCTTTAAATGTAGACGATTTTGACCCTTCTGCTTTAGAATTTGGCTTTTTATTAAGTACCTTGTTCACTAATGTATGTTGTGATGGAATTTCCTTGCAAGGTTTATTGATCTTCACTATTCCTTCTCCTGTTTTATCCTTGAAGCTTCTTTCTACCCATTGTGCGGTTTCGTTTTTTGCTTTTGATGCCTCCTTTCCATTGACTAGACCATTAGTCGAACTAATCCCCGACGAGTTAAGATGAAAAGCTTGTGCTGCTGGATTTAACTTTCCCTCATTATTGACCATATTTTTTGTTTTTTGCTTTGTAGATTCTTGGTTATGAATTGTTGAACTGTTTGTTGCTACATTATCTGCCACCATTGCCAATTGATTAATAGGTTCTTCCTCTTCATCCATCCCTTGTAATATTGCAAACTTGTTAGCTACTTGAACATGATCATTATCTTTATTGTCTGCTGCCACCAAATCCTTACCACTGTTGCTGTGTGCTTCTACTTGTCTCCCTACAGTGCTTGTACTCTCCTTGTTCTTAATGTTTTCAAACTGCTTAGCTGGTGCCATCTCCATTCCATTATTAGTGATACTAGTATTTTTATTTACTACATTTCTAACTCTGTTGTCCTTCACTTCTTTCCATTGCTCTTTTGCTGTAACATTCTCATTACCCACGACTTTCCACTAGATAACATCATTATAGGCTTTGAGTTCCCTAAGTCCTGTTTCTTAGCAGTATCTGCTTGGTTATCATTCTCCTTCTCCACATATAGTTCCGGGTGTATCCTCCAGCATTCAAATTGATTATGTCCTTGAAGTTTACAATGTCTGCAGTATTTAGGTAGCATGTCATATTGAATTCTCACCCATTCAGTTCTTGTTGTTCCTATAGCTTCGTTGACTATGTCCATCCTCACCTTTTTAGGCAGATCTGCAAGTAAGTCCACTAGTACCTTCACCCTAGCACAACTAGGTCTAATTTTATTAATTGTTGTCATGTCTAGATGCATAGGTTTACCTACTGCTGAAGCTAGAGAAAATAGACATTCCTTTACAAAAAAGGTTGGCAATAGACCTGGGAATGAAATCCAAGCCATTGCCTTGGGTGTTTCTTCATCTGCTCTAAACTTTGAGTCATAAATCAACGGCCTAAGCTGATATTGATAACCATCCATGTCCTTTATGTAATGAGTTTTTGATGAGAAATGAATATAGTCCTGCCTTAACGTCATTCTAATTAAAATATGTCTATCCCTTAGAAAACCAATGTTACATTCACCTTTAATTCCGCATTGAATTGGTATTAACTTACGCAGTTGTTGAATTTCTGGGCTTCCATAAGAACATTTGCCAACTATTCCATATTGTAATCCTTCGATGATATCCATCCTTTCTACTTCAGTTTCTGTGAACTGAATAACATATTCTCCATTCAATATTGTAGGTGGACGAATAGGAATTGGCTCAATTTGTTGTTGCTCCTGCATTGAAGCATTTAAAGTGCAAGGTTCAAAAATTTGGAGTAATCCATCGGCTGTTTGTTGTTATTTGTGTTCCCTGATGTTTGTGCAAAGTTTGGAGGAGGTTGTTTAGGCAGCGAAGCCTCCAAATGAGGCTGGCCACCTGCCTGTGTGTCCATTACAATTGTAATTCTTTAGCACTTTATTTGCATGACATAGTGCAACAGCTTTGCAATAAAACGATGCTACTGTAATTTGAACTAACTTGACTTTACTTCTGGATGGCTGTGAATCCAATTTCACAGTCCGAAATGAAGCTTAGAAATCAAATAGATCTTACAAGAGAAGAGAACACTTTTACGTTATCAAAACAAACTATTGTGCTCAACAGTAGTGTTGGAATTAGCTAAATTGCTAAAATTGAATGAAGAACACTGTCTGCTACAGTAACTCGTGAAAATGAAATTAAGATCTACAAAAATAGACTATAGATCTGAATTAAATGGGTTTTAGCCCAGATTTGGATTTTCTTTCATTTCTTTCTTTTCCTTTTTTTTTCAATTTCAAAATTCTTTTCTTTTCAAAATTAAAATAAAACCTAAATTAATTTTTAATAATTTTTAAACTAAATTAACCTACCCAATTAGATTAATCACTCATCATGATATTTTTAATAATTAATTAAATCCTAAATTTAAAGAAAAACTATACAATTCAAAATTTAAATGTAAAAATGCAAAATGAATTATTTTGTGATTTTCATTTTTTATAAAACAAACTAATTTACTAATTAATCTAAAAATATAAAATTAAATCCTAACTGCAGATGCAACATATTTTTTGTATTTTTCATGAATTAAATAAATAAAAGTGCATAGACAAATGCAAATAATAAACAAAAAATGCCACGAAATCCAACAAAATTGCAAACACTGAAAGAAATTATTTTGTTTTGAATTTGTTGGAGTAATTCATATAGGGAAAAAATCACGTGCTCACAGCTGCTCCTCTTTGCCCGGAAACATGAAGAGTTTTCGTGCAAAGAAAATTGAGCGGATACGAGCGATTTTTTCCTGTTTGAATACTCCGTGGGAAGCATTTTTGAAAGATTCGACCGCACCCTGCTTCCGAGGTTGCCTACATATCCTTGGCTAAAAAGGAATCAGGTCAGTGTAGTTCGGGAATGTCTGGTAGTTGGGACTACCATGAAGCTGTGATTTCACTGTTGTTGTTGCTGCTGCTCACTGAACCCCTTATTACACCATGTAAAAAATAAAAGAAGCTAGACTAGACTATGATTTACGCTTTACAGAATCCTATCTAGATCTTCAAACTTGATCTTGTGTTTCTTGTTGCCTTGTTTTCTCTCGGTAAAATTCCTTCGTGGCTGCCTTGAATTGTAAACTGAGATGTTTCCCTTTCTCCAGGTGGATGCCTAACTGCTGAACTTGATATGCAATCCCATGCTATCCAGGCGGGCTCCTGACTTCGAAACTTGAATATATTCCCATGCTATCCAGGCGGGCTCCTGACTTCAGCACAATAGACAAAAACAAAGAAACTTTTCTGCCCCAGTTTGGTGGTTGGGCCCATGTGTAAGTGTAAAACGAATGACATTACCGAATATCAACAAGAATTTTAAAAAACCAACACTTGAATTGTACTCCCTTGTTCTCCAGGCGGGCTCCTGACTGCTAAACTTGAAAGTATTCTCTGCTTTCCAGGCGGGCTCCTGACTTCAACTTGAAAGTACTCCCTGCTCTCCAGGCGGGTTCCTGAATTCAATATAGACAAAACAGAGAGTTTGAACGCTAAAACTTAAATTGTACTCCCTTGTTCTCCGGGAGGGCTCCTGACTGCTACGCTTGAAAGTATTCCCTGCTCTCCAGGTAGACTCCTGACTTCAAAATAGACAAAACAAAGAGTTTGAACGCTAAAACTTAAATTGTACTCCCTTGTTCTCCATGCGGGCTCCTGACTGCTATGCTTAAAAGTATTCCCTGCTCTCCAGGTAGACTCCTGACTTCAAAATAGACAAAACAAAGAGTTTGAACGCTAAAACTTAAATTGTACTCCCTTGTTCTCCATGCGGGCTCCTGACTGCTATGCTTAAAAGTATTCCCTGCTCTCCAGGTAGACTCCTGACTTCAAAATAGACAAAACAAAGAGTTTGAACGCTAAAACTTAAATTGTACTCCCTTGTTCTCCATGCGGGCTCCTGACTGCTATGCTTAAAAGTATTCCCTGCTCTCCAGGAGGGCCCCTGACTTCACTTGAAATGTATTCCCTGCTCTCCAGGCGGGCTCCTGACTTCAACTTGAAATGTATTCCCTGCTCTCCAGGCGGGCTCCTAACTTCAACAAAAGAGACAAAAACAAAGAAAATTTTCTGCCGCAGTTGGCGGTTGGGCATAGATGTAAGTGTTAAACTGAATCATATTACCCAATATTACTATGAATTTGAAATCTAGGTCCCATTATGCAGGGGGGTCCTGACAACTATTAACTAAACGACAATTTTAAATCTAAGTTATATCTTCTACCGGTGTGACTTCTGCTAAATCTTGCTATCTAAGAGAATCTTTAAACTACTCACCATTATCCAGGAGGGTCCTGAAAATCAAAAGTCAAGTTTTATCTTAATAATGACAACTTTCATGGATGAATTATACTACCCTATAGTAGAACTTACGCTAAATGTTATTATCTAATCGAAATCTTAAAGCTAAGTCCCATTATTCATGAGGGTCCTGAAAACTCCTAATTGAATCCTATCTCGAACATGCCAACTTCTAAGCTAACTTATATTCTTTTGGGATACATTTATGCTAGATTATGCTATTTCTGAACATTAAACTAGGTCCCATTTTCCAGGAGGGTCCTGAAAATCAAAAGTCAAACCTGTTTGGTGACTGCCTTTCTCCACGGAGAGTTACTCCGAAACAAACGAATTTTCTGCCCTTGTTTCAATCAAAGAAAATTTTGTCAGTTTAGAGTGGTGGTTAACTGATGGCATTCTTGCTGAAGATCTTTCCACTGCATTGTTTTGTTTTGAATGGCTTTCCCGAACTGGCCCTGAACCGCTTTGACTTTTTGACTGACTTTCAAATCCCATGGCCTTTGCCGAACCGAGTATTCTATACCCATGTTGTTGTTTCACACCGCTGACCCCTTTATCTGAACCTTTGCATCGTCCATGACATACCAAATCATTCCACCGGTGAAACTTCTGGTGATCCCCCGTATCCCACCTTACATCATGATGTCTTTAGTATGCTCTAACCACGTTGTGATTTGCAATTTTGGAAGTTGGAAGTGAGCTTTTAAATTCTTTTCCACTTCTTTGGGACAAGACTGACATTAAAACATCTTAGACAAATAAACCCAAAAGAAAATGAAATGCAATGACTTTGCGGGTTAAGGATAAGAAGAATCCAAAACCGGATGACTGCTACAAAGGGAAAAAGAAAAAGAAACTTATCTGAGTGGAACAACTAGTACCAATGATGATGACATGCATTTCGGATTAATCAGCCCAATCTATCCAACGATCCGCTATCAGTTGTCGTACTTTATCGCCTCAGCATTTTCATGACCTGATTACTTTACCCAAACCTTGACCTTGCTCATCCTGCGGTGCCTTAAAACAGTTTTCCACCAACAGGCCTTTCTCACTTGTTGAATTTTCAACTCACTTTTGTCTCAAGGTGCCCGTGAGGGTTTATACCAATAAGACTCTCTCATTTTATTTTCTCTCAACTCTCGTCGCCTTACGGTGCCTGTGAAGGTTTTCACCAATAAGACTCTCTCATTTTTATTTTTCCTTCTTGAACCAGAGTGTTGCCCCTGACATGAATTACCTTTACCCGCTCGACTTGGCATTTCTCAAAGACTGATCAGAAGGTCTTTCTTTGGACCGTATTGTGGGCTTTTGGACAGGGTTAGGAAGAGAGAGTATAAAAGTCTCAAAACCATTCAAATGGGTTAAAGTTACAACTTTCGGAATCATGTTTCTCACAACAACCACAATTTCTGCCCCAGTTTCTTGCTTGGGGATTTTTGAATTTTTATTTGATGAGACCGAACCGTGAGGCTGCCTACGTATCCT